TGATTTTCTGAGGTGATACGTAGGATATTTGATTGTTTTGGATAAATTATGCACGGTGATTGAATGAATAAATAGAGAACAAACGAGCAAACGAACATTGCGAATGTGTTATGGATGATGACGATGCTGTGTTTGGAAGTTTCTTTTTTTGTTTCGACCAATAATTCGATTGTAAGCAAATACGTTTATGACACGGTTGTAGGCCAGATTCGCAATTGATGCATTTACCACAGTTTGTATTTCGAATACAATTACTACAATTATGACAGCGATCGTTCTCGTCGTACACCTCTGAAGATAACGATTAGACAACGGTGACCTTCTACTTCACTCGCAACTTTTTTTAGTAGTAGCAGCCTTCAAATTGGAAATATACCTTGTTCATCCTTGATTCCTCCTTGAGATGAAGAGCGCTGATCGCTTCCACTACTCTCAAATTCTTTTCGTTTTTTTGCCTTCTCATCTCGACAGTCGCTAGATTTTTCCGTCTTCTCACGTTTCTACAATTCAGGAGAGAATTGCAGAATATCTTAGCAAGATTATCTGCGAAACATAAAGAGAGTGCAAAAATTTTTAATGGCGAAAATAATGTAATAAAAATTACTGATGTCCGATAGACGATGTGCAATCCATTGTTTTTGCTGATACACGGTGGACATGCGTATGTTTCAATTTTGTTGGCCAACGACCTCGTGACCTTAAAATGATCTGCTCAATCCAACGATCAATCATCGACAAAGTAGCATTTCGAAATTCAATTAAAAAATTAAATGCAGCACAAAGTTTCAATTCATAAATGCTTTGAGAGTGATCAATAAGCTGAAAGAGTACCTGTAAACAAGCCCCGTGATACCACACGCCACAGTGATCGCAACATATCATGAACGACGACTCTTCGCTGCTTCCACACAAACAAACACCTGATTCATTCTTGACCTCAGTGGGAAATGAATCCGAATTTTTATCCTCTGCCACCGGCTCATTTTTAATTGCAGTCATATCGGCACCTGAATTTGGAAACAGTGCTTTCATCAGCCATAATTAAATTTTAATAGAAATAAGTTTTACATAATTAAATAAATAAATTTTAGAAAACGGCAAAATCGCATATAGAGAAGACACTTTTTGTGTCTATTTACCGACGATCGAAATAGTTAAATTAAAGGATGGATATCAGTTTCGAACTTACCTTCATCTGAATTCAAATCTCGCCCTTCGTTGCCACTTGTAGGCATCTGCCCATCANCAATGTTATCGGAAGTCGACGGTTTCAAATCACCGGAAAATTTACTAGTCCCGGCGGCAGCCGTTTCTTCGCTTGACTTAGCTTTTAGCGTTGTTGGATTTTGAGTCTCAACGGCCCCGATCTCATTCGCCAGATTCCGCTCACTTTTTTCATTGAAAGCAGTCATAGGCACTGAAAATTGCCGTTTCTATGACAAAAATAACAACAAAACTAACAAAATCGCATATAGACTTACGATGAGCATTGGAGATTTATTCAAGGTGTGGGACGAATGAGACAATGGGCGTGTACCAAAGCAGTGCAATGACAGAGAGAGAGAGGCATCGCACGTCAACGGTTTTCACACCTTCAGAAATAGAGGGGAGCAAGTACGGGAATGTGCTTGCGATGGGGAGGGAAACCACAGATGGAGAACAATTGGTGCGATTAAAGCAGTCGAAGGATTTGAATCGAAGGATTCGACCAAATGGAAGCATTATCTTGAGCTTCAGCCACGGACAAGTGTCACTAAATTTCATGAATATCACCTCAGTTCGGCGAGGTAATCGCCAGTACAAGTTTCCCATGATCTTCCAATCGACAATGGTTTCTGATAGAGCTTTTAATGCGCTTCAAAAGTTAACCCCATTGTGTATAATTTATCATAAAATTTGCTTTGCAATATGTCACAATTACATCCATTATTTGATGATGCTTCAATCGCACCAATTGTTCATCTCTTCTGTTGCAGAGTGGATAGTAACAGTGATATACTCGAGATGTTCTGTTTCGATTGAGTTGGGAGTGTTCAGGAAATAATTCAAATTGTTACGCACCGGATGGGGAAAATACTTAAGCAAGGCACATACTATTTTGTAGCCAAGATTGAGTACCCTAGTCAGTTTCATTGAACCTTGACTACAAATGTTATGTTATGAAGGGTATGCCACTTGGCTTGATCCGTGGTGGTGTTCATCAGTTACAATTGGTAAATATACTGGAGTAATTGAAATTCTCTCTGCGTTGGGAGAAAATATAGTAAGAAAGATGCAAATCATCTTGTAGCCGAGATTCAGTAGTTTTCAAAAAGCAATAAATATACGGAATTGTAGGACATATTTATTATTGACATATTCGAGCAAAACGCTATATATTTACGTTACATGCCAGCAAAAGCACAACAACAGCAAATATTTTTGAATTTTTATCATTTGTCAGATTTATTTATTAGATTTATCAGTTTTTATTGTATTTGTCAGACAGATTCATTTATTTTTTCTCGTAAACAATACTTATTATTTGTATTCCATCAACCTGCCGACATTTATCATTTTCGAACTTCTGGTTGGTTGTGATGTTTATCATTTATGTTTATGAAATGATAAGGAGTATGGAACAGCGATTAAATGTTTGCGTGATAATGTTCGGCTTTCAAATGTAAAAACTGAATCTTCACGAGAGTAAACAAGCTGCAAAAGGAAAATTCTGTTGCAACAGAATTTTTTTCTCGTGTCGAAATACGCACTCAATTGAATCTAATTTTTTTGAACACATTTATCAAACAGTTAAGGCTTCTTTAACTCTTTGAGTTAACAAATCTGAAATATTATGCAATATCAATAAGTCATGGATCACATCTGCCAAGAAATCCATCCATGCAGTTCGTTGGAACGATTTGCTTTTTTTTTCGAAGACTGAATAATATTCTTGTGTGTTGGCCGTTGATTATCGACGGTCAAGATTGTTCTACATCATGATCAGTGTAATAGCCGCCTCTTGATGATATAATTCAGCTTCAACATGTACATTGCTATTTCAGTAAAAACATGTCAGTTATTCAAACTTGCTGGATAAAACATGCATGCTGGCATTGCGTGCTCGTGTTACTGTTATTATTGCATGACACGGAACATTATTTAGAAATAACATGCATGCACAGATTAAATCGGGTGTTTTTGTTTGTATCAATACCCTATCTACCATAAAGATCTATGAACTTGGCGTTCTCACCAGGGTTTTAAAATTGGAATGAAACTCCGCATCGCTGGGTCTTTATGAATAAGAAAATGGGTGGAGAATGTTGATAACCGATCGCTGAAGCTGCAGCTCTTGAAGATTTAGATCTGCAGCTCTGGAGTACATTTACGACATGGTTGCTGAAAATCACCAGTAGATTGCCAGTTTATTGCCGGTTGATCTTGCAACGCAAAATTTGAGCAGTTGTTTCATTCAACGAAGTTCACTTGCACCATAGCAATGGAAGTATCCATCCACAAGTAATGAGATATTGCTGGAATCGTGAGCGTTCGATTTTCGAGCTCGATCTCAAAAACGAATAACAACTGCCCAATCATGTGGGCGTCAAACATTGCATTGTCTTCGAATTGCTGCTAACCGAATGTTGTGATGAAAAATCGTTTGTAAAACGCTCGAAGTGAGGCAAACGAAACAACAAAATAGTCAATTGTTCGCGTGCTTTCAGTGCTGTTTTCTTTTTTGGCTGACAGCCGTCTCTATGTTCTGCGATGAGGATGGAAATAAAAAGTTCGTAAACTTCCGCATACTCATGACTGTTCTTAACTGTTCCTAATGGAATTACAGAAGAATTGATCCGCTCTCCTTTCGTGGAAATTTATCGCTGTGAATTACCTTCCAATACTCATTTCACTTTAGGTACTTCAGGTACTCAGACAAGTGAGGCTAATCAACGGGACTGAGAATTGAATTTACATGTTTGGCTAAGATTGAAACCATGTTCGAATAGGTTACATTATAAATATAAATGAATGGTAACCCATTCGTGAATATAATATAATATGCATATAATATATAATAAGAAATAGTACGGTGAATATTTGTGAGACGCTTCATTGAGGAATTTTGCATTTTTTATTCAAATACCCATAAGGTGATTGCGTTTATCGACACTATAACAGAAAACAATTAATTACGGTGATGGCATACACTTGAGCATTTCAAAGGCACTCTTCTCGAGCGATTCTCTGTGGTTGGGATGTGCCAGGTTGATGAGTTGATAAGCGCGCTGTCTCAAGCTCTTGCCCCAGAGATCAGCTATGCCATACTCAGTGACAACATATTGAATGTTACCTCGGGTTGCTACCACACCAGCACCCTTAAATATATCTCTTAATTTTAAGTGCATTTATTGAGACGAAAGATGTCGTCAATGATTCGCTCTAGTCGTTGTTCATTACGTTATGATCAAATGAGTTACCACTCTGAATCGATTTGAAATGATTACCTGGTTCAAGAATGGAACAATTTTGGTGGCTCCTTTTCCTGTGGTTGATTCAAGTGCCATAATGGCCTTACCTCCTGGTGCTGAACTTGCTCCGTAGACGTAGTCAAGCTGACCGCCGATACCTAAAATAAATATTTCACCAATTCTGATAAACAATCGGTTGCATTTCGATTTAGTTTCTGAAATAGTTT